GAAACCACGGTCATATTTTGAATTTCTATGGAAGAGGCTGTGTTAAAAATAGTTTTTGATTTTTTTTCCATAGATTCTGATAGGCTGTAATTGCCCATGAAGAATCACATCCACTTTTGAGTATGGCCTTGAATCCTTTTTGAGGACAGCTCTCTGTATATGATATTCCCTTTTCAGTGCTGGCAATTATATAAGTGTGAAGAACGAAAAATGTTATTCAGTTTTTACTGATGCCATTTCAAGATTCTAAAGGGAGTCCACAATATCAATTTGAAGCGACCGCTGCAAATATAACAAATCTGTAGCCATCACACTGCATGGTCATGTGGTAACAAGAATACAAAGAAAATATTATTTCCATATACAGTAAGAGCTATAGCAAATTTTAGGGTTTGAATAAAAATGTGAATCTTTTCAATTATTCATTTTTTAAAATAATTCCTTCTGAATGTGATTTTTAATTGTTCACATGCCTTTTAGCATCCCTACTTTAGCTCAAAAAAATGCTTTTTTTAAACAAATTTTAGTAAAAATAAGTGCATTTTTGCCTGCCTCTTTCCGGTAAAATAAATTCATGAACTTCTGGGCTTTAATAATAAATAAAAATAGGGCCCTCGCCTAGGAATACTAATAGCTAACAAAAATCTGATTCATCCAATACTACAATGCCAAATGCCTACTTACAATTAAAGAAGTGTTCTGGAAAAAACAATGAAAATAAATTAATGTATTTTAACATATATTATAATATTTAAATTTTGGAGGATACTACATGGGATATTTTCAAAAAATTTATAATTTTCAAAGACTTTTCCGCTTCTTCCTACAAGTTCAATTATGAAAATTCATTTTTTTTATTAATGAAAATTCTTTTTTTTTTTATTAATGAAATGTATTCATTGAAAACACATCTTCAAATAAGATCGTGTTGAATTTTACAAAAATTAGAGTATTTTTGGAGTAATTTGGCATCTAACATAATGCCCACTCCTTATTTCCTGTGCTTCATGAATATAATTTTTGTGGTTTTTGAAGCAGTTGGATGGTACATAAGTTAGAATTTTTATATTATTTCTTATTTCTTTCTTTGTTTACTTGAGCTTTTGTTATAAGTTTTAAAATGAATCTTTTTGACATTACTTAAAACCTATTTTAAATTGCATCCTTCAATTGAGATAAATGTGCAAACAATTGGATGATTTTGGTTTGCTAAGTAAGATGTGGAAATGAAAAGTAATGAATTAAAAAAAAAAAAAGGAGTAATTTTGATGAACATAAAAATATACTTTCAATCCATTTTCATTTCCTTGCTAGCGGTGTCAACAATCCTAATCGGCAAGGTGTGTATCCCCTTTGAATTAGCAGTCATTTATGCTTGTAACCCATTGTTGTAATGCCGCACTGATAACAGAAGGTGATAATAACTGCTGCCTTTTCTTTCAAATTAATATAAACTAATAACTTTATTTACGGCTAAAATATGCTTCGTGCATCATTGATACATTTATGTAGAACGTGATTACACTGAATTCAATGGCAGAAAGCTATTTTAATTTAAGCACTTGAATTTAAAAAATGTATGTATTTTTCCACTTTCTTTAAGAATTTTTCAAATGGTTGTCAAAGTGTAAGACAAAAACTGACATGTTATAATATTATATAGCCGTTAAATTGTACAATTGTCTGTTGAATTGAAAATAAGTAAATAAAAATAAAATACCAATATCATGAAAAAGTACATGATGCTATGTATAGGAGCACTAGTTTTATTTGTGCAAAGACATGCACGAAAAACAAGGTTTTGGGCTCCTAAGATGAAGAATGTATCATGCTTACCCTAATGACATGTTAAGTATCCACAAGAAATTGAAGGTTCATTACAGTACATAATTAGGAAATACTAAAACAAAGTGATTTAAACGTTTATGTTTACTCATGAGAAGGAGACATTGATAGATTTAAGAGCATTTCAAAAAAAAAAAGTAAATAATTATAAAAAGTAATTTACATCAAAAAGACAAAAAAAACCTTAGTCAAAATGTTTATTTTTTGATAATTCGTGTTCATATACTAAAATCCTTTTGTAAAATTACTAGGTACTTTACTAACCATCCGATGTCTTATTATAATATACTTCTTCTTTTTTTATTTTTAGATATGATTCCCCTATTAAGTGATAACACCTCTGAAAGACAACTTTTTTCACATAACAAATAGTGGTCACATAACACAGGTTGCACTGCATGTGGTAAATGCCTGCAATAAAAAAATTGGTTATAAATTTTTTTAAATTAATTTTTTACATTTTTGTGTACAAAATTACCATTGAAATGCATTAATTTGCACAGAATTAATAAATTACAAAAATTATGGATTTATCCCCTCGGAGAGTAGCTTACAGACTTTTTGTTTATCAATTTGACATCATTAACACTTCCAAATGTTTTTCACGTAATACAGTAAACTTCTTAAATCACTCTGTTTTATTAAAAATTCAGCTGAAAGAAAACGAGTCACATTCTTTTCCTACAGTTCAAGAGGACCAATAAGTCTTGTGATGTTTATTTCATGAAAAAAAAAAAGACTTTAATTATCTTTTAATGACTACAAAATTGTTGAAAAAGTAATGACAAATACAAAAATAACATTCCATACACATACATTACCTTACAATGTACAAAGGTAGAACATCAAACGTGTTTGTAGTTTTGAGTATTTGTTCAGGTGTAGATCCACAGTCCGTTTTGGATGTACAAGATCTAAGCTTTGGCTTCACAAATATTTAAAACAATTTTTAACAACTGGCAACATTTATTGAATTAAAGAATAGGTATTACATCTAAATGCTTTAATAAAATACTAAACTCATTACATACTGAAGTTCACATTCATACTAACAAAACGCATGTACATCATAAAAGGAATAAAGGTAAAAAATATACGTAAAATCCGTAATTGTATCCATGCTTTCCAGTTGATATTTCTTATGTAAATTACACTAATGTAAATGTTTGTATCATCTGTTTTCCCACACAGGGAGTATGTGACTTTGTCGTTGATGGCAGAGCTTGAGTATTCCCATGACCCCAAGAGCTAAGCCAGCAGTAGCGCACCTACTGGTAGGGCATCCCAAGCTGGCAGGTCCAAGGTATCCGACTACAAAGTACTTCAAAAGTACTATTTTATTATATGATTTAATGCAAAAATAAATACCCAATACATAACTACATAAATAACCAATAAAATAATTTGGGTAGGAACTCTACTTTACACTACTTTCCTACTTGCTAGTAATAATCAAAAGCCAAATATTAATATCAAACCAAACACCATATTAATATTAAAAATTTTAACTTTAAAAAATGTATTATATTCATGCCCGTTAAACCTAATTGTCTTCTGTAATTAATTTAGTAAACATAAAAAGTATTAGTTTTCACTTTGTATCATCCAATGCTCGCTCTACAAGTTAAAAAGTGTACAACTTAATAATTTTATAACTATCTTACATTTGAGCTACAAATCAGAAAAATAACTATTGCTGAGAATGCACAAGGCACAGAGAGTTTTTTTTTTTTTTTACAAAAGTAGACAACTATAGGTACACAGAAGTTTTGCTAGCAGTGTCTCATGACTAACCCTAGGCTTCATTTATTTACCATATAAGCTTTTGCTATTTAAGCATCTGTAACATAAAATATGGAAAGAAAATAACATCTCAATTCCGCATGTTGCCAGAATGTCTTTCCCACTTTAATTAAATATGTTTCATTGTTTCTTTTTCTTACCATTGTACTTCTGTTCATGGTTAGCATTAACTTACATGTGTTTAAATGTCTGAAGAAACACAGATATAAATGAAAGAAAAAAATCTCTACAAATCTTTTATTTCAAAATTGCCCAAATATATCAAGTTTGAAAAGATTGGTATAAATGAGTCAACAACATAAGGATGTCCAGGTTGAAGGGCAAGCATGAATGAAATCTATTTCTCTGGGTCATGTATATTATCCTAAGGTTGACAACCTTAATATTAAGATAAATTCTGAATTTTAAACTCTGAATTGAGAACGAATACAGAATTGGAAACAAATAACAAAGGTGGATAAAATTGCGAATAATTGCAAATTACATTATAAACGCAGCTAATGGCATTAATAAAGGCAGCACCACACTGAATCAATAGCACAAATAAAATAAAAATCAGTAACTTTGTACAAAGTTGTACCTATTTTCTCTACAATGCATTACTCATTTAGTATCCAAGCCTTACTCCAAAATCCTCAAACACAGGAATGAAGGTATAGCCACATCTTTCTGGTTCATCATTGCACTTTTGCATTGAAAGCAATAGTACAAAAAGGAGCAACACATAATCTTAAAGAGAAAATATTAAAATTCCCTGAAGTAAAGAACAAACTGAAAATTGCTTGTTTCAAAACAATTGACCATTAATGATCAGTACGAGAGAAAATTCAATTTTTGAGAAAATAAACTATTGATGTCACATTCAATCAAGAAATAGGTTTGCAAATTGCTTTTCATGGAAAGATTAATCTAAGAAGCAATCTTTCCTTGAGAATTAACTATAATACCTTTGTTAGTAATACTTTAAAAACTTGCTGTGAGTGCAACGGGTTGGTGATGGAAATTAGAATCTTTGAAGTAGTCTAGAGGAATTCTCTCAGTAAAAATTGCTTTATTAACACCAGAACCTTGGAAAATTTAAAGGCAACTTAGCACCAATGCATACAAACAGCAAAGTTCAGCTGATTTGAAATTGAAAATGATACCTATTTGGAGCCACACTATAAAATTTGTTTTAAAACAGGGATCTGCAGAGCAAAAAAAGTTTGGAATCCCCCACAACCAAATCAACCACAATCAAAACAAAAAAAGGGGCCCAAAATTAAGAAGGCAGATTGTAAACTAAAAGATATTAACAAAAAGAGAAGTGACAAAAGTTTCAAGTTGTCACAATTCATATAACTTTTTCCTTTACTAACCCCCTTCATAACTATTCTAGAGGAGAAGACAATTAGATGTTCAGTTCTGAACTTTACAAATTAAATTGTATTATTAAAGAAGTAAAAAAAGGATTTCTTTGTCTTAAAGCAATTATATAATACGAACTAAAAAGACACTCGCTCCCTTAATAGAATCACGTAAAACAAAACACCTTTCCACACCAATAAACACAGTTCTATGACTAGATTTAAAAAGACAAAATTGACTAACAATATCAGTGGCACAATCAAAAAATTAGTGTTTCACTAAATTTTGCTACATTCACACACGTACAGGTAGCAAAATGGTATGTACCTTTTTATTGCCGGTGTATCTTACACTCTTACACAAATTTTTTCACTCTTTATTCATTCTCCCTGCCAAAATCTCCTCAGTTAATAGTATATTTATACACCTCAAAATGTATAAAAAAGTAACATAAGCAACTGAATACAGATGAAGACTAAAAAAAAATTGTCAAAGCAAACTAGAAGGCATGTGTTAACATAGATCTTTTTTTTAGCTAGGTAACATAGATTCTCGAAAATACTTAAGAAATAATACATTAAAAACGTGGTAGCAACTCACTTCACTTGACTACCCACCAAGTACACAAGAATACACTGCAGAATTGAAAAAAAACTGCTTAATTCACAAAGCATAAACACTATCGAAAATAAAGAAAATGTGCCCCAGGGACTGGTAGTTTGCCATGCAAGTAGCATGATGATGTTGCCTCATTGACTGAACTTTCCCTGGACACTCCTCAGTGAGGCTTCACAGATTCTAGATTCCATCTGTTCTAAAAATAATCAACAGAGCACCTGCCTGATTTCTTAAAAAAAGGAGACCAAAAAAAAGCAATTATAAAAATATCAGTTTTTGTTACCTTATTTACTTTTTCTTTGGTCAGATGGTTTATAAAAAATACATTTCTCACATTCCTACATCATTGCAACATTAAAACACACTGTCAACACAAATTCTCAAAAAGTTTTCATTGAATTTTGGATACAATACTGCACAAACTTCAATCACACAATTCTTGCTTACATTTCAAGAACATTTTTTCACAAAAAATACATCCAAAAAGGACAATGAACTCACTATAAATTAAAGTTAAAAACACTTATAAATGTAGCAACAGTTTGAAAAACTCAACACTGATGAGATAAAACATTCCCAACTTCACAACAAAGTATCAGTCTCTTGTTTTCACACATGAGAGAAGTATGACTGATAAACCATACCCATCGATGTAGTAGCAAACCAAACAAAGCAGCTCCACCAAGTAGCAAAACCAAAGAGGCCCTTGTACACCTCTGTGGTGAAAACCTACACAATGAAGATTTTTTCAAACAACTCAATATTTCTCTTCAAAAAACCGTATATGCAGACAAACACAGATAAAAAGCCATTTGTCTCATTACCTGCTTCAAATTATCCAGAGCCAATGTGAACTGCTGAGCCGATTGCTTTATAGACTCCCCCTCACCAAGAATCTGTGTTACAGGAGTAATAGGAGTATCTGCAGGACATTCTTGGGCTGAAGGTGCCTCCACAAATAAGCCATCCCAGGAGTAACCACCTGAAATGTAATCACAAAAATTCAAGTCAACAAAATAGATTATAAAGCTGTTGCTCTATAGTACAGCCATCTGACTAATCTTAAATTTTGCTAAATTCCCATTCTTCATGAACATTTTTTTGCAGTTACACTACTTTTAATTCATCCCTCCAGAATAATCCATAGCAGGAACATTTTCAGAAATACAGTTCTGCGAACAATATTATCATTATAAATTCTTCTTGTGCGCACGCGTAAGGGAGAGAGAGCGCACAAGAGAGAAAGAGCGCAAAAGAAATAGAGTGAGAGCGTATGCAAGCGAGAGAGATGTATGTATGTATGTGTGTATGTGCATACATGTGTGCACATGTGCATGTGAGTGTGCGTATACAGAACCAAAGGACCAAACAGTTCAAGAAGGTGCAAGATTACCATTATTTGGAGGAAACATATCTTAGAATTAAGAAAACAGAGGATGTTACAATAAGGACAAATATTAATGTTTGATTTGCAAAAGAACAGAAATGTTACAATTTTTAAAAGACAAAGGAGAAATCTTTACCTTCAACAAAAATATGTGGACATACCTAGGGTTTTGAACATGAAAGTGAAGTAAAGGCACATCAGAAGAGGAGCAATGTATTGTAAAGTCACAACACACAAATAATAAAACACTGCTGCAATCTGGAAAAGAAATGAACGTTACAAAGAAAAAAACTATATATAAATATATAAATATAATATATATAATATATATATTATATATATACCCTTATATATACTATATATATATATATATATATATATATATATATATATATTATATATATATATATATATATATTTATTATTTCCTTTATACTATCTATATTGTATTCAATATTGCTTTAAAATATGCGTACTTTCTTCTGTAATTCAACATTAGTAATACGGCCAGCTTCCTTTTTTTGTTCTTCCAACCGATGATATGCCATGTTCAGATAAGATTGAAGATATATTGGCATTAAAGACAATCGCAGAATCACAGCCCCCACAACAGCAATTAATCGAAGACTTTCAAATGCATGTTCTGACATTCTGTTAAAAAAAAAATACTAATACTTATTAAAGATAAAATTGATTATAACTTTTTATTGAGATAAATACAAAAGTAACATACATTGGTCCAGTCATTCCTGTAAAAACTCGAGCAGTGAGATAATCTCTACTCACTGGTTTTATCCACAGGAGTACCAGAACAAATGGTGATGCGAAGCTAATATTGAGGAGTAACTTCCATAAGAAACTTTCCCCACAATACCTTTAAAATAATACAACACTATAAGAAAATAATTATAAGGAAGAAAAAATACATTTCTCAAACCTTTCCCTTACTTCAATGAGTCCCACTGCATTCTCGCCATACGTAATCCAGGAAATGTAAAAACTGCACCAAGAAGACCACACCATAAAGCCAGAAAAAATTTTATTACCAGCTTTGAGGCAGGTCCCCTGAAAAAGTTATTTATTGTTAATAAAAGTTTCTCCTTTCCGAAAAGTAAATCTGATGAGAAGCATTAATTACTTTGAATCAAGGCCTTGTGTATCCAGAAAAGCAGCAGCACTTTCATTGAAACTTTTGTAGGCTTTGTCAAGGCCTAACTCCAGGTTGTTTTCATCAACAATCAAAATCATCATAGACAGAAGTAAATATGCAAAGCCGGTAACAATGACAGTAGAGCGTTCGCCAACTGATTCTTCTCCCCGAAAGTATTGAACAGTCAAAGTCAACAACAATTTCCTAACATGGTTAAGGATTTTTTTTTTAACACCTTGAATGAAAAAAACTTATTTGTTGAAGAAATTACAGCACAATGAATACTAAACATAGTCATCCAATTCTGTATAACATTACTCAATGCTTTCCTTCACTGTAGTGAATACATTTTAAAAAGTTAACTTTTCTTTCTTTTTTCTTTCTTTTTTTCCCCCTTTTTTTTTCTCTATCAATTCCAGGAATGAAATTGAAGACTTTAAATAGTGAATAACAGGATGGTTTATTACGAAATTGTAGAACAACAATAATAAATAAAATAATATAGTTAAATACAATGTATTATTTTAAAGTTGCATTAAATTGCATAAATTTATAACAAATGAAAACTCTGACCAATGCAAACCAGAATTAAGACTTGAATATTATTGCACTTTTTTTTATCTTCATGATTTTTCAGTGGTACAAAACAATTTTAATCAGAACTCTTAAGAGAGAAAGAAAATACAATAATGTTTATTCGCATTTTTCTTGGGGCATTTCTCTATCCCTGAAATCAAATCTCCATTGTTAGAAAGAATACATTCACTGATGCTGTTCTAAAAATGAATTCAAAATAATCAAAATCAGAGTACATCTTTTCAAATGCACAATTAGTATTCATTTCAGTTTCATATAGTTTCTTTTGTTTGTAAAATCATTTATTCTTGGGCAACTAAAACTTCCTGCAGCAGTAATGCGACCTTAACTATAGAAATAAATTCACTTAATTTAAAAATCTTAGTAATCTACATCTTCCCTCATTAATATGGCTTTCATTAACAAATTTATTAAGTGGAGACATGAAGTAAAATTCTGAGTTTTTGATATGTGGGATTATAATATTTTTAAAAAATATTAATAGTTTTCTTAATAAAATGATATATACATATTTACATGAGTGAAATACACCCTCAACATTTTTACTTTCTCGCTCTTACTCGCCGGTGTCGTTTTAAGTTCGAATTCGTTAAACTAATTCGAAACTCGCGGGTTCCTGGTTGGGTGGTCGGGATCAGACGGCGTTGAGCCGCTGGCCGAGGGGATAAAAGGTACTGGCTCACTGCGATGTGACGAGACTTGACAAAGAAAGTAAGGGAGGATTACTCCACGCAAGCGGTCAACGCCCAACAAGGGTTTAAGAGATGCATTGCGTCAATGACATTTTTTTAAAGAGAAAGTTATGTATTCGTGAACAGGAAAACAGCAAATTTTTAGCAGAAGAACTCTTGGGTAACAAAAATGTGGATGAATCATGTTCTTATTAATACTAGGTAAATTACTTCCTCTAATACCTGGTACCTCTAATGGCCAGAATCCGTATTGCGAGTCCTCGATACCCCAAAATCGCATGACGGCTAAACAATCCGTCTGTTATCCAATACCATTGTCTGTAGTCAACGGTAGCACCTAAACCGTTCAGGCAATTTTCTTCAAATTTGATATTCCCTGATCGATCTAAATGAACTCGAGGCTTTGGGAGTTTCAAACGGAAATTTTGATTTTGGAAGTATTTTACATGAAGCTACAAATACAAATTTTCAATTTTTTTCTCAAAAATGGTTCCAATTTTTTTTTTTTATTAAACTTTCTCCTCGGATGCACAAAGGCCATTTGAAGAGATTGATGCAGTCAAGTGCAATTGTTCTGGGACGTCTTCCTACAACTCCAATATTGAAGTTGGAGATTTTCCCCCTTCTAATGATTGATCTTTAAATAGATTCGTGTTCAATTTTAAAAATGAGTAGTTTTCATGTAATTTTTCGCAAAATATAAAAACGTTTTAAAAAGTTGTAAAATTTTTTCTCAAAAACCAATATTTTTTCCTTTAAATTTATCGGACATATGTAATAAGGGATAGAAAAAATTTGGCGCTGCTACTATTTTCGGCGAACTTTCTGTTTTTTCGGACTGGACAAAAACTGCAAAAAGTTAACATTTCAAAACTACAAAATTGAAGATAGAGATGTTTGCCTCCAACAGTATGTTGTAAACTATCCGCTATTTAAACTAATGGAGCTACAACAGTACATACTTTCTCGCGTAATTGGAAACATCAACGTAATATTGAAATATTATATTTTCTGCGCTACTAGTACCTCAGCTATTACTTGAAAACGTCCAATTGAAGCAAGAAGTGAGCAACGGACTGTTGCCAGAGCAGCGTTGTCAAAGCTATGTGCATTCGCTTGATCAATAATATCAATTCTTGGCAAAAACGCTTATTTCCACTAGTATTCAGATTTCAACATGTTTATGAATTAGTCATAGTACATCATACACAGTTGATAAATAGCTAATACTAATAACCAAATTAAATACTAATATTCTATGATTTGTAATATTAAGTTAATTTATTACCACCTTTTTATATATTGGCACCGCCTCAAACGAAGCTCAAGAAAATAAAACTGATATTATATTCGTTATATCAAACACGGTATAACCCAAAAAATACTTTAAATAAAAGTAAATTATCTGTCCTTCAAGACGGTAAGAAACAATTTGGTCCTTACCGGCCTATTTTTTTAATAAAAAGTTTAAATTAGTACAGGCTCTTATGCAAAAACTTTCGCGGGTATAGGTTACTTTAAAGTTATTGAAGAAGTTATACGGTTAATGTACCTTTTCCTTTTCTTTTATTCAATACGTAGTACATGTTTTGGGAAACAGATGACATAAAATGTAACATACCTCACCGAGCGTTCTGAAGAGTAATTTATAAAAATTGCTGCGAAATTCATCGCAAACGGTAGTACTGGCTCTCGGTCTAGAAGTTACTCTGTACAAATCATGCTATTCTCAGCAGTTTCTGTAATTGTAAACATGTAAAAAACATTTTCAAATATAAAATATCATCAAACTATACCGTTCTAAATTACCTTCGCACGTATTTTAAGTATTTCTTTTTTTAAATACACCTACTTTATGTATTTAATGCATCCCTTAAATACACGCCGAGACACTCAAAAATACAGTTTTTCAAATATAAGTATTTGAATACTGCCAAACCCAGCTCATTACAAATCGTACAACTTTTGGTACAAAACTTAAATTTTCTATAACTATAAAATTTCAAGCAAATGTCAATACAAATTTAACAAATAGAACTGCTTTTCATACAGGTAAATCATGAGCCAACAATAAGACGTTCTTCCCAAAAAAAAGCAGTCATGGTTGCATTCCAATCTGATATTCCTGAAAGCTAGCAATTTTATTTCGTATATTTCAAATAGGTTTTAAGTAATTTATAAAAGAATGTGTAAAAGAATAATAACAGGTCAAATGTAAGAAACGAACAAAGGAATGTGAAATATTCAAATTCTAACTTACGAAGCATCCAACTGTCTGGAATAAAGTTCAAGGAGTTCAGTAAATTCGGAGCAGGCGATTATTGTTGTCAATTTACACAAAAAATACTCATACTTTCACAATATGAACATAAGATTATTTGAAGATATATTTTTGATAAATAAATTTTTAAAAAATTGAATTTTCACAATTGTAGTTGTAGCAGTGGGATTCGGGAGGGGCAACTGCTTCTCCCCCAATATTGGGACAAATTAAAAAAAATGTATTTTGACATTTCATTTTGCAGATCTTCAAATTTACATAAAAAATTTACTTTTTTCTGTATTTTGAACAAAATAATCCCTACACAATATTTGATGAACTATGAGTGTGAGTGCTTACGGATCCGTAACTCACGGGGAAACCACTTCCCGTGCACCTATGGAGATATGTGAGGAGCCATTCGATCCTCGGTCTCTTGATGGGGAACTGATAATATGTTTATCTGGCCAAAAGATTCTAAGAAATTTATAAAAGCGTGGTTTGTTGTGGCTAATGTAAACATAGACAAACATTAACATAAGTGATAGACTGAAGTATTCACAATGTCTAACATGAATGTAAGTAAAATAAGAGGTTCTATTGGCTTGAGACATTCTATTTCACTATTGGTTGGATGTGAGAATCGATTCCAAGGTATCGACTGTGTCCATGGCCCATATGGCGTTAGATCATCTATCGACTTCGCTCCAATTTCGATTCTCGATTTTGAGTTACAGTTTTTCGATTGGTTCATTTATGTCTTACTTAAGCATAAGCACAGAAGCTTGCAAACTTTTAAGTTAACGTCTTACGTGTTATACTTCTGCGAACGTATTGTGAATGAGTCCGCTTCTGGGCGTATGTTTATGATTGCATTGTGAATGGGCCTTTAAGCTACAAACTGAAAGCACATTTAACTTATTATCGATTTTCAAATGTGACTAAACTTATTCCTTAAACCTTATACACATAAGCATACAAAAGTCATTTTAAGTCATACATAAGCATTTTAATGTTTATATATATTCTCCTACAAAACAATAGAGAAATTGCAGAAGTAGAAGTTAATACAAATTACCTGAGTTTATGGAGTTTAAATCTTTTTAAAAATTATGGAAATGGAAAGCAAATCCGGGGAAGATTCAAATGTAGTTGATTTTGGGACAGAATTTTCGGAACCAATTGAAAATTTATTAGAGAAAACGCTGTAGAACAGCTTAAGAGTGAAATTTTATGTGCTTTTTTGTGTAGATTGGCAAAAAAACGCACAAAATGGGAACTGTACTAAATTCTAACTATTCGCAATACCCATACCTGCCATACCCTAAATTGAATGTAATATTCTGAAAGCATATTTAATTGTAATGTATCGTATTGTTTAGAATTGCAAGGTACATATGTATATTACGATTAAATAAATAATTTCCATTACAAATTTCCTAGCGTTTTTAATATAATGCTGAAAATACGTGCTTCTCACAAACAACGTTCTGTGGGTCCCCAATGCAATAAAAATTATGTTTTCTAGCATTACTTGTAATCTATGGAAGCGTAGTCGGTAAAAGGAAAACTTTAGACCGTTGTCCAAATAAAACGACTTTTTTCAATGGACCTTCAAAGGAAGACATTTGTCAATGCTGCGAATCGTACGGATTCCAAAAAGTCAGAATGACTAACTTTACTGTGATCCGGCAGTTCTTGCGTGAACATACAGTGTTACAGGTTTTGAAAAGTGAGAAAGCGAAAATATACGAATAACGTTGAGTAAAACTTTATTTTATTATATTTTGTATGCTTTTCCATTATAATTTTATTTTGTTTTTTTAGGGGCATCAGCCCAATTTTCATTACAAATATGTAATAAATACTCAAATAAATGCACAGAACTTTTATAGCATTTTCAAAGTGTATGCGATTTAAAATGGTAAAAAAATGTTGTTGTTTTTATTTTTTAACTACAGCTCAACAATCGAAAAAAATCACGTTTAGTGTTTTAAGAACTTTTGTGATTTGTTTCAAGCCTCTTCCAGGGTCTAAAGTCAGTTTTTATTTAAAAAATAACACTGTTTGAATTTGGCGATGAGAAAATATAAAAAAATGTTGTTCTCAAAGTATAAGTTATTTTATTACTTTTCATATTTTTTAATTCAGATAGAATAGTTTTAAGTTGACAAAAAAATTAAAAATAAAAAACATGTTTCTGGTTGTAGAGGGATGTGGGTAATTGTATGGGGGCTAAGAAATCTTTAAAAAATATTGTTTATGTGAGAATTATACTGTAACTGTTCACATGCCATTTGTTTTGGGAACTTAAATGCGGAGGAACCCTTTGTGCTGTTTGGTTAAATTTTAGTTTACTGCCCCTAAAATCTCATGTTTTGAATTTTGTTACACATATTTTATTTATGACTGAACTTATGCAAAGACATCACAGTTGCTGCGCGAGTAATAAAAGTAACCAATATTACATTATCCAAAACTGATGAAGTCACCAAAAATCGTATAATTTAACACTAAAAGAGAGTTTATATTTGTGAATAATGGAGTAAGCTTTTTCAATTTAAAATAAAAAATATAGCTAATAAAAAAATTCCTGAATTTGCTACCTGTATGTGGTGCACTGCTTTCACTAGAGACGTTGAGACTCTATGCAATGTGATGTCAATAAGACATTGATTCACAGTAAATATATATGTAAATTTTTAGTAATAAGTAAAGGATACAATGAAAAACATAGAACCAGAAAGCACCACAGCATACTTAAATTGATCTCGTCTTTTAGAGGTATAAAATACTGATAAACCTGAAAAAAGAAATGGATAAGAGCAATAAATATACTCCATCATGCACTTCAATTACACATCATTAATTTTTCACATTACCTCAGTCGTAATGTACACCAAAGTAGAATAAAATGAAAAATCAACCAGCCACTGATACTCAGAATAATACCTCAAATGAATAACGTCTAATGCTGTCACTTTTGCAGTTTCCAACTGAAATTGTAAAAGGAGTTACAATTATATTGTAAATTTCAGACACTTACCAAAACCATAATACAAAAATGACACTCGCCTGAATATCTAGGTTTCTTGGAATATGGAAAGAATCATCTTTCTTCCCATTTTCCACGTGTTTCCCACCCTTTTTACCTTTACCTTTATCTTTAGGTACACCAGCCAATGATCGCAATTCCTCATCTGTGGGGTATAAGTAGCGAAACAATCTGAAAATATATTGTCTACATTACAAAAAGCATCTACTAAGAAATGTTTTTTGAATATACATAAGTATAATTTTTTTTCTACTTGCCCCGTTGAACATAATAACCATCTTCCTAAAGAGAAATGGGGCCCAACTTTCTGAATGATACTGACCATTACAAGAGTAATAACAAGTTGTGCCCCAAGAAGAGCCTGTAATATAATGGTAAATAATAAATTTATTTCAATGTAACTTCAATGAAAATAACTCATTGAAAAATATTTTGATAGAAGTGAATATAAATTTAAGTCAATTCAATGGAATGATGGAGATATGGTTCAGCAATTATTAATTAGTAAAACTATTAAATTTATGAGATTTTTTAAAATGTTTAATAAATGCACGTACATTAAAAAATGATTACCAAATTTCCAACAGGAGATTGTGATTCCACAAATAACCTGTCTTTGATGCTTTAAATATCACAATGTAGTAATCATTACAACATGAGAATAGGCAAGTCACAAGTAATCCAGTAAAGCTATTCTGAATATTTTTATCACATTTAAGTCCAACATGCATAGGTATGTGGAAATACTTTTACATTTAATAGTACAGACTCTACGGCTTACAGCTTTACTTCACACAAAACAATTTACCCCTTACCATCGTGAAAATAAATTGCTTTGCACAAATTATATGTTTTAGTCTTCTTCCGGGGACATGTGGGTCATGAGAATGCAAGAATGGTCATCGTCTTTTTATTCCGTGTGCAGGAGTTTATTAATCAATATAATTCTCAAACTATAAACCTCGAAACCACTCTGCTCACGTTAATATCCATCAATGCACTCAATACCTCTCGGCATGTCACGGTTGGATAGTGGATACTTCCGGACACAGCTAATACTCTTAAGCCGCACACCACACGCAGAGCACACGCCCCCACTAGCACTTGCTCTTGGGCTGCTTCTTTTCTGGATCAGGCAGCCTGGCAGCTTTGCTGAATTTCTCATACCCGAAACACGCCCCCTGATTGTCAGAGAAGGAACAGCGGAAGAGATTCCAATTCGCGCTTCATGAGAGAGAGACCGCGAAATTTTAAGTAAATGTAAAATGAAAAATTGAAAAATTGTAACGTTTCGATTTTTTT